AAGCCTTTTTTGTGTGCGCTTGAGCGCATATTAGGCTATGTAGGCAATTAAAGGCTCATTATTATGATTTATATGGTTTATTAATAAAAGTGCGACTAATAGTCGACTAATGCTTAAAATGAACGACTACTAATCTACCAGAAAAATCTTTAGTCGAGGTCAGCCCTAGTTCTTAGTAGCTTCAGTGTAGTTAGGTACTTTTTGTGAGTTGCTTGTAGTGAACTACTATTTAAAAAAAATAGCTCTAGCTTGACACAGCCACTTCCCAAATGAGAAAGCACTTTGTGTTTCTGCTGTCTCTTATTTGTTTCTGACTGCTTTATAGCGTTTGTTTCATGTGTCATGGATTTGGTATTACAGTTCATGCTTTTTTGTATTTTTGACGCAGAAATGTTAATATGGTCTGTCTCTGGAAGTTATTTAAGTTGAAAAGGCCTTGAGAGGTTTTTTTTATTTTTATTTTTTCATTAAGCTTCAAATGTAATGTGTTCTAGAGTTTTCTCTTTTATTGCAGGGTTTCAATCCAGTTGGGCCATTTGAAGCAACATGCCATTGTTTTGTGGTTGTCTGAAATGCGGCTGCCTGGCACAGTGTCTCACACACACACACACACACACACACACAGACATTCACAGCAGGGCTATAATTTCCCTGCACATGTGGTTACACTGCCAAAGACACCAGATTTCTGTAGAAATCCCAGTTCTGTTGAAGTTGCTGGCCGACAGTGAAGATTTTACAGCAGTCTTTAGTGCCTACTGGCAATATAACTTTTCTGATAAGTCTTTTGGCCTCTTTTATTCATTCATTCTGCCTTGATTCACATAGGCCTATTCCTTTATAGAGTTAAGGTTTTCATTCACTAGTAATATTCTTTTTATGACCTAAAATATACACATAATCACAGTATATGGCAATCTATAATTTAACATTATAAGCATTTTCATCTGTGATCATTAAACCATTGAACTTTTCAAGTGTTTAGACAGACCTGTCTTCAGATTGCTGCCTGCAGTGCCAGTGCAACACTATTGGTTAACCATAAAGATGTTCTGCCAACAGAAATCTGTGAGTGATCTCTGCTATTTCTTAAGATATTGGTTGTATCTTGGGAAAGAATATTTGCTGTTGTTATTATATATATATAGCCAACCATGTTAATAAAAATAAAGGTTAAATAAATTATGAAAAGGTGTTTCCATTTCTGTGAACATTTTTCAGTAAACAAATTAATTTAATTGATTCTTTGGAAAAATTTAACTGATCCAGGGAAATTAATCAATGACCAAATCTAACACTGTTTTTGTCACTTAAGTTTAAATCAGAGATATTAAGATTAAGATTGTCTTAATTCTGACATACTCGCATGCCAAAGGAAAGGTCGTGAAGGGTTTAATGACACAGGTTTTAGGAAAATTAATGTCCATGTGGAAAAATGTTGTAAATATTTATATTACCAGCAAAATCATTGCAATGCAAATATATTGTGAATTTTTGATATATTGCCCAGAGTAGCTATTCATAGTCACAGCAGCAGTTCAATGACATTGTGATAGCATCAGGACAGATGAGCGCACTGAGAAAGTCTTTTCACTCGTGCATTCTTATGGTTTCTATCAGTCAGAAGCCAACCAATGAGAATCACAGAGGTGTTATCATAATCAGCGAGTATCAGATTTCATCCCCTAATTTACCGTTATTTCCCCTAATGGCCTTTCTGCCTTTCTCTCAGCAGAAGTACTTATTTCTTTCCATTCTCCTTAGAACTCAGGACATGCGAATGACTTAGGAGGATGCTTGACTTTGAATTAATGATTTACAGTACAGTGACACATTTTGCAAAAGGCAATCATTGCCAATTCCACGAGCCAATAACAGCTGTCATTGCAAGGATGATGGATGCTAAGGACTGGGAAGACTGTGTGTGTGTGTGTGCACATGTGTGTGTATAATGTAGTATCAGTATGCCATATGATTCCTGCTGAGATCAGGGAGATCTCCGGCATGCATGCTGGAACGGTCATGCTGCATGCAGCAGTCACATCTCACACAAGGTTCAGTTTGTTAAAGAGTTACATATATCTATCACAATATAAGAGGCTTAAAACCAAAGGTAATCTCACCTAATATGTGTCAGTAGTACAAAATTGTATTGTCATAGTGCTTTGGACATGTACCATAATTTCATACTTTTCTTTAAGTATCACGTAAATGCCATCATATTTGAATATGGTAATCATTCAGTATTGTCATCTGATATTATCACTGTACCATGTTACCACTGTGGTACTTTAATAAGTGGTCTTCATTTTTAAACAAGTTTCTCACATCATATTTCTATTATATATTGGATTTTTTTTTTCTTTTCAGTAAGAAAAACCACCATTCTAACAGCCCTTATAGCAGTTAAAAACCTCAAAAACTGCAAGTTTTTCACTTATATTTTACAGTTTTTCATAATTTTTAAGTAAATACAAGAATATTTAAACATTTTATTTTCTATGCACCAATATAACAGTATCCGCAATATTTACTTGCTTTAAAAAAATTAATAAATACAAATAAATAATCAAGTTTTTCACAAGCCAGCATCATTTTGTCCCTTTTCATTTATTGTTGAATGTTTTTATGTTGTTAGTTTGCATGTATGTTTAAGTGTATTCACCCATGCTTCCTCAGGAAGATGTTCTTCAAAGTACAATCCATTTCCCATTACCACCTCATTATTAGGAAAACCTGAAAGGAATCCTCTGGGAGGCATGAAAATCCCTACATTGTAAAAGATTTATAGCTTCAGTTTGAGTTTAGTAGATTAAATTAGCTGTAATAATGATGCCAGCACCTTTTTTTGTTTACCGCAGAGCGTTTACTGTCCTACTGCGTAACATAATCCATGTGTTTTTACTGTCATGATATCTGTTTAGCAGTCCATGCTACCCCATGGATGACATTACAGTACATGTACAGTGACAGTCTATAGTTTGTTGATTTAGACAGATTTGTGAACAATATTTGAGAGAAATAGGCCTTTTGTGTACATAGAAAAAGTCTTAGATCTTTGAGTTCAGCTCATGAAAAATGGGGGCAAAAACAAAAGTGTTGCTTTATAATTTTGTTCAGTGTATGTTGGAGAACCTGTGTGGCTGTTGTCTCATAATTTTCACACTGCTCCTCATAATGCAGCACTTCCTGTAAGTGAGTACGTCAGCAAGCACCCAAGCCATCTTTAGTTCAGATTATGCAATCAATCCTCTCTCTCACTTTGTACTTTGTGTCATCTCCACATTTGTGCCTGATAGACGATGAGGGACCGATTGTTTTTTTTCCCCTATGTCTAATTGAATTCAGTTTTTCATTACAAATGATATAATCAGCAATCAAACAAAAATTGGATTGAAACTTCAACTAAAATTTACATACATTTCAGAATGCAGTACGTTGTCCTCCATTTGCTTTAAAGGGGTCATATGATGCTGCTAAAAAGAACATTATTTTGTGTATTTGGTGTAATGAAATGCAACAATACTACAGCGAGAATATAAGTTACGCCTTCTTTCTTTGCGTGAACGTTTGGGCGGCGTTATGCAAATCTTCCGAGATCGTGACGTAGATATGTGGGGGCATGTTAGAACGAGCCGTTTTAGGTGGGTGTGGCTGACTCTTAAATGTTATAAAGAATATCTCTTTGGATTTGAGACTTTAGTTTTTGCAACTTTACAGATCTTCTTTATGCACCAAGAGCTTGTAACACTCCAAAGAGAAAGGAAAAATTGAAATCGCATCATATGACCCCTTTAATGCCAGCAGTACTTGAGCTGCATGAACTCCAGATCTTAGTGTAAAACCTGATGATCATGTTCAACTCAGTGTCTTGATCTTCAGTGGATCTGACCATCTGTACCATCTGACCATCTGCACAAAGGTAATGTGATCAGCGTCACAAATGTGCTTATTTGATTAGAGAGCTACAAATAGAATCTTGTATTTTTCTGATTTGTTTTATATCATGGCTTTCTTTGTTCTATTTTTTTTTCCAAAATCCTAAACAAATATTTTTAAGATTTACTTTCCAATTCCAGATTTCCAGTGTGGCCATGAATCTGAGGAAGCTAAAGGCATTGCCATATTGCTTTGTGGTGTGTTTGATGTTTGTTGCTGTGACACTTTATTGGCCCAGCTGAAATAAAATGCTCAGGCAGTGCTTTTCCTCTTTTGTTCTAATAGAATTATCCTCAGATTACTTTTAAGTACTGCAGGAAGCCAAGCGGATCCTCATTCCATGACCATCTTGCTGGATCTAATTTATGTGGGGTGTGATTTTATGAGGTTGTTTGCTTTAATATTAGTAGACTCCATGATTATTTTCCTTGTTTTCACTTTTTTATGTTTATAATAATGCTTTTTAAAATATGTATATATATAGTTTTCGTTAACATTTTATTTCATTTTCAGATTTAGTTATTTTAGTACATCAAGGTAAACTAAATAAAAATGACGAATTTTGCTTTGTCAAATTGTGTCAACTACTGTAGCTTAAATAAAATAAGCTTATTTTTTATTTAAATAATTTATTTAATTTCAGTTAAAGTCTATTTTATTTCAAGTGACAAAAACTCTTTTATGGTTTTAGTTTTAATTAACTATCATAACATTGCTCTGTATTACCCTCAACACTTGTGTCACTTGTAATTTTATGATCAGCATACCAAAGACATTTCAAACAGAAAGCGTTTGTAGCGGTTTATTGTTACATCTGTTTGAAAGTAGTCATCTTGAAATCTCATCTTGAATGCAAGCCTTATTACTACATGTTGAGCCATGGTGCTCATATAGACATCACAAGTTCAATCCTGGCTTGCAAAATTCCTTGATCCCATTCTTTTTTTCCCCTCCCTGTCATTTCCTGTACTATAAATAAAATGGCAAAATGATCTCATGTTGATTTCTCTTCCTGTCTCTCTCTCTCTCTCTCTCTCTCTCTCTCTCTGTCTTTTTGCCAGTGTGTGGCTGTGATTTGGCACATTCCGGATTCTTCCAGAAGAGTGGCGAGTACATCTGCACAGCAGACTACCAGCGCCTGTATGGCACAAAGTGTGACAGCTGTGGGGACTTTATCTCAGGGGAGGTGGTCTCTGCCCTGGGCCGCACATATCATCCACAGTGTTTCGTGTGCAGCGTGTGCAGGTGAGCCCTCTATACAGACTACTAAAGTGTCATTATGGAAATAGACCCATCAGACAGATTAAGCGTGAGGGAGTGCTGGTGGGATGCTGGTAAATGATGCTCATTTACTAATGTGCTGATGACTGAATCTCATTAATTCACTTCCTGACAGCTATATGCTCCCCCACTCATCTATATACTGAGCAATTAACCTATAGTTAGTTCCAGTCTTCTAATTTGATCAGCCAAGTGACGTTCCAAGACCGCTGATATTTATATAATTTTCTTTGAAAGAAATTCAGTGTCTGTGATGGATGAAAAGGTTTTGGCTTAAGGAATATCTTCAGTTTAACTGAATTTAAAGGATTTGATGGACCACATGTAGAAAATGGGAAGGCAAAAGTAAACTCTGACTTCTTGTGCCACATTCTCTCTTATCAATCCTGACCTTAAAGCAGGGCAAGTAGGGCAGTGTTTTATAAATAAAATCTTCTGCAGACCGTTTTGTTTAATTTTGTAAATTTTTGTAGAAGTTGATGTCCACCCATATGCCCAAAATTAACTTTTTTTTTTTAAACAAATTAGTTATAAAAAGTAATTAACCTGCCAATATTGAGAGAAAATCTACTTACCATAAAGTCTTGCCAGCCGTAAACTGGTATATATCATATGATAGATACAGGTGCATCTCAATAAATTAGAATGTCGTGGAAAAAAAAGAACCAAAGACTTAAACTACGTCAGTCTGTGTGCATTGAATTTATTTCATACACGAGTTTCATAATTTGAGTTGAATTACTGAAATAAATTAACTTTTCCACGACATTCTAATTTATTGAGATGCACCTGTAGATAGATAGATAGATAGATAGATAGATAGATAGATAGATTTTATCTAGTTTTATCTTTAGCAGATCATGTGTATCTCTTTAATTTGATTTACTCATGTTGTTTAGTTCAGATATTAAAACAACAGGTTCAAACTATAGGCTAGTTTTTGTGATTTAGTGCATACATTGTTTCATTTAATAGCTTTAATGTACTCGTCAAAACCAATTTTTACTTGAATTTGCCACTTGACGGGTGTTTATTTTGGACCCTGTGTGTAGGCATCTTCTCTTCTTTTCTCTTGCCCTAGAGAGTATAATAGAGAAGGAGCGATCAATGCAGAACTGAGCAGGATATTGTAACATGAGTCAAGGCGGAAGAAAGCTGAGGTTTGGAGCTCAAAATATGCAATAATGCCCAGAAAGTAAGCAGAGAAGAGAAGAAAAGTGTAAATGGAGAAGCAGCTGAGGCTAGAGGTGAATATCTGCCTCAGACCAAAAGGAGCAAATGAAGAAGTTAAAGGCAGAGGTGGAAAACACCATCTCTTGTCTTTTATATGTGGCCTATTCTCAGACTCACAAGCAAGAAAATGAGAGGTACTGTAAGACATCCCTGCAGGGACACATTATCTGTCTGCCCAACACTGAAACACTGTTATTTGAATCCCATTTCTTTTTGTAGTAAAAAATGGGTTTAATGCAACTGGATATTTTCTAAATTTACCACTTTAGTATTCACATTGGCAGTCATGTGAATTTCACATTACCTCTGCACTCTCTTCTCTCTTATATGCTTTTTCTCTTTTTGTTAAGCTTGTGTGGACACTTTACTGGACTGTGGTGCTGTGAGTTTAGCTGCTAATGTGTCTCTGTTATATCCCATTTGTAATTACAGTGTGTTTGCTCTGCTCTGATCTAAAGGAAATTAGTTCCACTAAATAACTTGCCCCTCCTCCTTTAGTTCATTACTACTCCGAAAGAGAGTTAGCGCTTGATGAATTTATGTGGGTAGCAAAAGGCATTTTCATGGAGGACTGGGATTGCTTTGTTGGACTGCATTGTCAATTGGGCTACTAAATGGCCCAATGGGATGCTCTTGGCAGGAGTAACCTAAACATTTTTCGGCCTGACCAAGAAGTAAACAGTCAACAGGAGAGCTAGATTATGTTACATTTAATATTTAGACCATCTGTGTGGAGACCATGCTCTAGTTTTAGTGGGCTATCATCCCAGTAGCACTGTCAATGATTATTCATAATGTTACAGCCCTTAGGAATATATTGTATACTTTGGTACAACTCATATTTCTGTACAGCATTCTGGACCTTTAATTGATATTTTGAGGAACTGTTGCAATTCACTGAGATAAAGAGCTTTATTTATTTAGGCTGCAAAAAATTCAAGGTGCAGTTCCTTTATATTATGATATATTTAATGGCCAAAATGTAAAAAAAATGATGTTGTATAAATAGTTATATGTATTTAATATGTATAAATATGTATAAATGTAGTATATTACCAGTCAAAAATGTGTGCCTGTGTGTGTACATATATGTACAAACATAAAATGGCAAGCTTACAATTCAATTTAATATATGTTGTCTGAAAAAAGATATTATCTTAAGCAATTTTCTTCCTTATTTAAATGTGTCTTATTTGTTATTTATTTTTTATAGCTTTTCTTGTTATCAGTACAAAAAATATTGATTAAGATTTTTTAAAGAAATTTCTTAAAGTAGATGGCACAGGCTAATTTTGATGTCCTGAAAGAGTTGCAAGATTGTGTTCGTGAACAGAATAAATGCAGCAAAACAAGAAAACTGTACATTTTTAAAGAGCAGGAAAAGCTGACAATGCTGTGTGTGTCTGGAGGGAGTGTTATGTGGCGGTAATGCCAAGGTCACGTAAAGACTGCATGGAAAGACACGCACAGAGCCTCATGAGGGAACCCACACAGTTTTCACATATAAATATAGAATAAAGTAGGTTGTGTGAAAGAGGAGGAATAAAACACAGAGAGAAATAAAGGATATGAGAAAGTAAGATTAGATCCAGAGATCCTTCTCTCATTGGCACCAGCTATACTGAAACAATGGAGAAACTAAAGGAATTATTCCACCCATGTGTCTGACATGGGCTTTGTAAGTGCTTCTGTTGTCTGCCCACTTACCCTGTCATCCTTCACTCTCGATTTCAAAAACATCTTTGTGTGTGGTCTCAATTGTGGAGGAGTTTGTCATGCCATACTTCACATAGCCCAGTGAATAGTGTGTTGGTGTGTGTGTGTGTGTGTGTTTATGTGCAAAAGTGTGACATTTCTCTATAAATGTCCTTTCTAATTTAAAACTGATCAATATTAACAGTGACAGAAATAATGCATGATCTGTTTTTAAAGGACCTGTTCTGTAATCTTGTAAAGTAGCAGAGCCGGTGCTCCTCTAAGGTCATGGTTCATTGTAAATGGATTGTTTTATAATTGCTGCATTAGTAGAGGAATAGACTACTGTAATAGGATTTGTCTCCTGGTGTAGAAGCTTCCAGTCATGCTGATTACTTAGAAGATAAAGCAGTGGTGTGGACACAATGGATTACGCGAGCTGTCATGAGACATGTGGGCATGTGTGCTGAAGAGACACATACATTTATCTACATAAATAAAATGGCCTTTGGTACAGGATTTGACAATAATGGTGAGGAATAGCCTAAAGACCAGCTACAATGAATTTCCATGCAGGGCCAGGTTGAAAAGCTATGTTGTTCCAGCATAACTAATATGAAGAGAGATCCCACCTTGTCCACCTTAGCCCTTATTATCCGCATCACTCAAAAATGTTAAGTCATTATGTGATGTGAGTCACTTTGTCCCTTTATTTCAGTGGTGTTTGTGTCTTCAGTGCCAGTGTGTCTGAAGGGAAGCTCTGCTTAGGTAGAGCTGGGCCATCATTAATGCTGGGCCATAATGCTTGTGGGCAATGTGGCGTTCCTCAACTCTATTTGGGGTTAAATGTTACTTGAACCCTGTCGGGCCTCCTCTCACAAAACTCCTGCTGTTGTGCCTTGAGTTAAATCCTTATACAATTGGCTCCCATTACCATACTTGTCAGTGAACATACAGATTTTTCATTGCAAGTCATTTACGCTACAGTACAAACATTTGGTGTCAGTAAGATTTTTTTAATGTTTTTCAAACAATCTTTTATGCTCACCATGGCTGCATTAATTTGATCAAAATACAGTAAAAAGAGTGATATTACAATTTAAAATACCGAAACCTAAACAGTATTAGATATTTAGTTGAGTGTGTGTAGGTCAGGATTGCCTTCATTGTGAGGACCTGCCAACAGTTTTCTCTACCATGTAATTTAGTCTTCTCTGTAAGCATTACGGATTTATTTGAGTGGATCATTTTTTATTTGGACTAATTTTAGGCTTTGGTTTACTTATGCATGTGTGCTAAGTTTAATAACGTTGTCTATCTGTCTGTCTGTCTTTCCCTCTCTAGGAAACCTTTTCCAATTGGGGACAGAGTGACGTTCAGTGGTAAAGAATGTGTCTGTCAGCAGTGTTCCCTCAAGCTGGTTAATTCCAATGAGCCAATCAAAATCCACGGGCCCAGTCGTAAGTCCCATCCTTCAATTTAAACATTTGCCTATTTGTTTGCATAACATGTGGTCCACATGTGTGTGTCTTTGTGCAGAGGCTAGATAGTAAATCATATGTAAGTATTTCGCCAAATCTGCCACTCAAAAGTGTTTTTTTTTCTGTGTGTGTGAGTATGTTTGGATGTTCTCATTCATATTTCTCCATCTCTTGGGTGTTTTCAGTAGTCTGCTGTGTATATATATATATAT